CTGTCTTGTTACCTCCGTGGTATGTCTAGGTCTCTATATGTTTGTTACCCCCGACTAAGTCACGCTGTCATGTTACCTCCGTGGTATGTCAACGTCCCTGTATGCTTGTTTTCTCCCGACTAAGTCACTCTGTCTTGTTACCTCCCAGGTATGTTGTGGTCCCTGTAGACTTGTTACCTCCCGACTAAGTCACGCTGTCTTGTTACCTCCCGGGTATATTAAGATCCCTGTGGGCTTGTTACCTCCGGCCTAAGCCACGCTGTCTTTTAACTCCCCGAGTATGCTAAGATTCCGGTATGTTAAACCCCCTGACTAAGTCACGCTGTCATGTTACCTCCCGGGTATATTAAGATCCCTGTGGGCTTGTTACCTCCCGACTAAGTCACGCTGTCTTCTTACCTCCCGGGTATATTAAGATCCCTGTGGGCTTGTTACCTCCCGACTAAGTCACGCTGTCTTGTTACCTCCCCGGTATATTAAGATCCCTGTGGGCTTGTTACCTCCGGCCTAAGCCACGCTGTCTTTTAACTCCCCGGGTATGCTAAGATTCCGGTATGTTAAACCCCCTGACTAAGTCATGCTGTCATGTTACCTCCCATGTATGTGAAACCCTCTGACTAAGTCACGCTGTCTTGTTACCTCTCGGGTATATTAAGATCCCTGTGGGCTTGTTACCTCCGGACTAAGCAACGCTGTCTTTTAACTCCCAGGGTATGCTAAGATTCCGGTATGCTTGCTATCTCCCGACTAAGCCACGCTGTCTTGTTACCTCCCGACTAAGTCACGCTGTCTTGTTACCTCCCGGGTATGTCAAGGTCCCTGTAGGCTTGTTAACCCCCGACTAAGTCACGCTGTCTTGTTACCTCTGTGGTATGTTAAAGCCCCCGACCAAGTCACGCTGTCTTGTTACCTCCCATGTATGTTAAACCCCCTGACTAAGTCACTCTGTCTTGTTACCTCCCGGGTATATTAATGTCCCTGTGGGCTTGTTGCCTCCGGACTAAGCCAAGCTGTCTTGTTACCTCCCATGTATGTTAAATCCCCTGACTAAGTCACAATGTCTTGTTACCCCCCAGGTATGTTAAACCCCCCTGACTAAGTCACTCTGTCTTGTTAACTCCCGGATATATTAAAAATCCCCGTGGGCTTGTTACCTCCGGACTAAGCCACGCTGTCTTTTAACTCCCTGGGTATGCTAAGATGCCGGTGGGCTTGTTACCCTCCGACTAAGCCACGCGGTCATGTTACCTCATAGGTATGTTAGACCCCCTGACTAAGCCACGCTGTCTTGTTACCTCCCAGGTATGTAAAATCCCCCTGACTAAGTCACTCTATCCTGTTACCTTCCAGGTATGTTAAACCCCCCTGATTAAGTCACTCTGTCTTGTTACCTCCAAGTATGCCAACATTCCACCTTGACTATAAGTCACGCTATCTTGTTACCTCCCTGATATGTCAAAGTTCCTGTAGGCTTGTTACCTCCCGACTAAGTCACGCTGACTTGTCACCTCCCATGTATGTTAAACCCCCTGACTAAGTGACGCTGTCTTGTTACCTCCCAAGTATGTTTAACCCACCTTGACTATGTCACACTGTCTTGTTACCTCCCATGTATGTTAAACCCTCCTGACTAAGTGACGCTGTCTTGTTATCTCCCATGTATGTAAAATCCCCCTGACTAAGTCACTCAATCCTGTTACCTCCCATGTATGTGAAACCCCCTGACTAAGTCACGCTGTCTTGGTAACTCCCGGGTATATTAAGATCCCTGTGGGCTTGTTACCTCCGGACTAAGCCACGCTGTCTTTTAACTCCCCGGGTATGCTAAGATTCCGGTGGGCTTGTTACCTTCCGACTAAGCCAAGCTATCTTGTTACCTCCTAGGTATGTTAAACCCCCTGACAAAAGCACGCTGTATTGTTACCTCCCATGTATGTTAAACCCTCCTGCCTAAGTGACGCTGTGTTGTTACCTCCCATGTATGTAAAATCCCCCTGACTAGGTCACGCTATCCTGTTACCTCCCAGGTATGTTAAACCACCCTGATTAAGTCACTCTGTCTTGTTACCTCCCGGGTATGCCAACATTCCTGTAGCCTTGTTACCTCCCGACTAAGCCATGCTGTCATGTTACCTCCCAGGTATGTTAAACCCCCTGACTAAGTCACGCTGTCTTGTTACCTCCGTGTAATGTTAAACCCCCCAACTAAGTCACGCTGTCTTGTTACCTCCCGGGTACGTTAAATCCCCCTGACTAAGTCACGCTGTCTTGTTACCTCCCGGGTACGTTAAATCCCCCGAATAAGTCACGCTGTCTTGTTACCTCCGCGGTATGTTAAGGTCCCTGTAGGCTTGTTATCCCCCGACTAAGTCACGCTGTCTTATTACCTCCGTGGTATGTCTAGGTCCCTGGATGCTTGTTACCCCCGACTAAGTCACGCTGTCTTATTACCTCTGTGGTATGTCAAGGTCCCTGTATGTTGTTACCATCCGATTAAGTCACGCTGTCTTGTTACCTCCCGGGTATGTTGTGGTCCCTGTAGACTTGTTACTTCCCGACTAAGTCACGCTGTCTTGTTACCTCCCGGGTTTGTTAAGGTCCCTGTAAGCTTGTTACCTCCCGAATAAGTCACGCTGTCATGTTACCTCCCATGTATGTTAAACCCTCCTGACTAAGTGACGCTGTCTTGTTACCTCCCATGTATGTTAAACCCCCTGACTATGTCACTCTGTCTTCTTACCTCCCGGGTATGCCAACATTCCTGTGGGCTTGTTACCTCCAGACTAAGTCACGCTGTCTTGTTACCTCCCGGGTATATGTCAAGATCCTTGTAGGCTTGTTACCTCCCGACTAAGTCACGCTGTCTTTTAACTCCCCGGGTATGCTAAGATTCCGGTGGGCTTGTTACCTCCCGGCTAAGCCACGCTGTCTTCTTACCTCCCAGGTATGTTAAACCCCCCCTGACTAAGTACCTTCCGGGTATATTAAGATCCCTGTGGGCTTGTTACCTCCCGATTAAGTCATGCTGTCTTCTTACCTCTCGGATATGTTAAGGTTCCTGTAGGCTTGTTACCCCCAACCCCTCGACTTAGCCACGATGTCTTGTTACCTCCGAGGTATATTAAGGTCCCTATCTTGTCACTGCTTACCTCCCGCCTCAGTCTCTATCTAATCAATAGTTACCTCCCGCCTCAGTCTCTCTATCTGATCAATAGTTACCTCCCGCCTCAGTCTCTCTATCTGATCAATAGTTACCTCCCGCCTCAGTCTCTATCTAATCACTGGTTACCTCCCGCCTAAGTCTCTCTATCTAATCACTGGTTACCTCCCGCCTAAGTCTCTCTATCTAATCACTGGTTACCTCCCGCCTCAGTCTCTCTATCTGATCAATAGTTACCTCCCGCCTCAGTCTCTCTATCTGATCAATAGTTACCTCCCTCCTCAGTCTCTATCTAATCACTGGTTACCTCCCGCCTAAGTCTCTCTATCTAATCACTGGTTACCTCCCGCCTCAGTCTCTCTATCTAATCACTGGTTACCTCCCGCCTAAGTCTCTCTATCTAATCAATGGTTACCTCCCGCCTCAGTCTCTATCTAATAATTGGTTACCTCCCGCCTCAGTCTCTATCTAATCAATGGTTACCCCCGCCTCAGTCTCTCTATCTGATCAATAGTTACCTCCCGCCTCAGTCTCTATCTAATCAATGGTTACCTCCCGCCTCAGTCTCTCTATCTAATCACTGGTTACCTCCCGCCTCAGTCTCTATCTAATCACTGGTTACATCCCGCCTCAGTCTCTCTTTCTAATCACTGGTTCCTTTTCGCCTCTGTCTCTCTATCTAGTCAATGGTTACTTCCCGCCTCAGACACTCTAATCACTGGTTATAGATATTTCACGACTTCTGGTCACTGGTTACCTCCCCGATGTTTTACGACTTCTCGTTACTGGTTACCTCCCAAATGTTTCACGACTTCTCGTTACTGGTTACCTCCCCGATGTTTCACGACTTCTCGTCACCGGTTACCTCCCCGATGTTTCACGAGTCTCTCTCGTTACTGGTTACCTCCCCAATGTTTCACGACTTCTCGTCACTGGTTACCTCCCCAATGTTTCACGACTTCTCGTCACCGGTTACCTCCCCGATGTTTCACGACTGCTCGTCACTGGTTACCTCCCCGATGTTTCACGACTTCTCGTCACTGGTTACTTCCCCAATGTTTCACGACTTTTCGTCCCTGGTTACCTCCCCGATGTGTTACGACTTATCGTCACTGGTTACCTCCCCGATGTTTTACGACTTCTCGTCACTGGTTACCTCCCCGATGTTTCACGACTTCTCGTCACTGGTTACCTCCCCGATGTTTCACGACTTCTCGTCACTGGTTACCTCACCGATGTTCACGACTTTTCGTCTCTGGTTACCTCCACGAAGTTTCACGACTTCTGTTCACCACCTATAATTTTATAACTTAATAACATAATTCCACAACTTTTATTGTGTTTTCTCACATCTGTTATTTTTTGTACACATTTGTTTGATTTAGAATGGTTTCCAAATAAACGTTCTGGTAATAACCCTGTACCGCCTACAATAGTAGTTATTATTCGTGATAATTCACATCAAATTTCTTCACAGTCAGATTTATGTGTTGATTATATTGCGTTATAAACTTTCCCTTCGTGTTATTACCAGATATTGTTCTTGAAGGCGAAAATGACGAAATTTAAATTCGTCCGTGAAATCTCCCTCACATAGAAGTATTGTAATGTTTTCTGGGATTATTTGTTATCATTTCATCTTCTGTAAACGTTCCTCGATAACAAGGAAATAAATGTACATCAGAGAAAAGATAAAAAATAATGATGATAATAATAATCTTTATTTCAGAGGATAAACACGTGTTAAGCCAAAGGCTTATCTTACACACGGTCCTCAACCAATTCGTTTAACAAAAAACAGAACAAACAAACAAAAAGATAATAAAAAAATATGTTCTCAATTTATTAATTCTATATAACGATATTTGTAATATACGCTACACATATTGGTTGAAGTCATTAAGCTCGTGTGTGTTTCTGGTATATTGATCACAGTTTGTGTTTACTTCTGCTGTTACAATAAACACACATCTACACGTGTTGTTTATTATATAATCTAGTAGAGCTGATAAACACGGATATAATTCCTCTCATCTGTACCACTATTATTAGTGACCACAAATCTGTCACCACGAACAGCTATTGCCCATGGAGTCCTCATTCCATCTGATGACGTCAGCAGTTCCCTGACGTGTGTCCCGTCCCAAGACATCTGTATGACGTTGTGTGACACATTACCACACACGTAGATGTTTCCCTCCCTGTCCATATCTATTCCCGAAGCACGTCTCACGACATCAACCTTCAACACATCCGTGTGACGTTTGTCAGCCGACAGTCTGGACACTGCGACGCCTCCCCTGGTGTCGTTATAGACACTGACGAGTGTGTGTCCCTGTACTGGGTCATGTGTGAGGGACCAGCAGATCTTGTTATAGTGATGTAACAAGTCAGTCACGCCGTCCTGTGTTACGCTGTATACTCCTCCTCCATATGTACTCACGACAAACCTCCCGTCTGTATGTGTGATACCATAGCAATTACCGATGCCTGATATGTTGATCTCAGACGACAGGGAGAGTTTAGATGCCTCGACTTTCACGACACAGACACCATTAGGACTGCAGACAGCGACCGCCACGGTATTGTCGTTCACCAGACACAGATCCAGGGGACGACGTCGAATGGTCAACTCGTCCAGGCACAGTCCTTTGTCTGTAAACAGCTTCAGCTTCCTGTTGTTCTCATCACTTACCACTATTTGATCACACGGAAGGTACACAACACCACAGACATAGCAATTATTTGTATCTGACAGAGTCTTTATTTTGTACTTTCCGATTTCCATCACACGTCGTTCTGACAAGGGAAGTGCTATACCACTAGGAATGGGTCGTGGTTCTTTCTCGAAGACGATCTTCCCCATCACGTCGTCACCAAGGTTGTCGACGTCACTAGTAACCTGATGTTTAATGCTGACTGACGTGTAGGACTTGCTCATCTCCGTGATCAGTGCCTTACATGACTCCACCTCTGCCTGTCCTCTCTGATATAACACTATCGTCTCGATGTTGTCATTTTCATGTACGGCGGTAACGGACGACTTGATGGTATTCAGCATACTATTCATCAGACGTTCACACTGACGTAACGAGGCATCCATGTTCCTCTTCTCTTCTTTGAACGACGCGATCAACTTGTCTGTGGCGTTCTTCTGAAGGAGGTTTAAACGTTTATCGACATCTTGACGTAGATCTGTGATACTCTGAAGTGCGATTTCTTGGTTCTGTACCAAAATCTGGAGTTGTTCGTCAAAATCTTTAACTAATAATTTCATGGCCTCTGTTGCTTTCTTCAGCGCCGCCTTCATTTCTTCTAGTTGGGATCCTTCTGTCAACTTCTGAATATACTCCATCGCCGTTTTCACCTCTTTACATCCCCTGTGATCCTTCAAAACACATATGTTACACCCGAGAAGTTGATGGTCCTCACAATACCAAACCTTTTTCTCGTCATGTTGGTCACATCGAGGTACCGACTTTTCCTGATTTGGCCGTGGTCCACCATATCCGGTAATATCTAAGATACCACAATCATCATGCATAATGTCATGATGTTGTACCTTACATGTCTCGCAAAAAATCATATTCATATCTTTGCACCAGAATTTGGCTGGATTGGTTGGGTTACCTTTCTTCTGACAGGGTTTGCAGTACAGGGGTGCTGATGATCGTTCCTTAAGCTGGATAAGGTCCTGTATCACACCACTAGTCGGGAACTGTTCCGCCCATTTGTCCTTAGATTCCGCTGGATATACAGGCGTGGTCGTCCTCCTACAAACAGGACAAGGGAAGGATGTTGACGATGCCATCTTCCCAGATAACTCCTTGGTGATGTAGGTCTCGAGACAATCCTGACAGAAGCAGTGGAGACAGGGTAAGGACTTGGGTTTCTGAAGTCGCTCCAGACAGATCGGACATTCCAGTAAGTGTAACTCGGTGTCCGGAGGTTGTCCACCTTCGGCCATTGTCAAGGTAAAGGCGAGAAAACGACAACCTGAAAAATGACAGTAAAAAGAAAATAACGTAATAAAATAAAATGGACAACAGAATTCTGTTTTTTGACGTCGGCTTATCACACTTGTTTATATATCTCCTGTTGAATATATACTTATCATACACACATCAAAGGGCTTTACCGAGGCTAAAAGACTATAATATAAATGCCTTTCTACAAGAAGAAACTGAATATGCAGGACCGATTTCTCGGGAAACTAACCCTGATAATCCCCTCTTATTGTCACGACATAGGAAAACACTGTTAAAATCATCATTTTGAAAACATTGAACACGTGCAATATTTCATGAATATGGGTGGAAAACAAACCTGTACAATGAACGTCTAACACTGTATGTATATATTTCTACCTGGAAACAATTGACTAGCTTGTAATGTATGGCAACACAAAATTAAATCAACATCTATTTTATGACAAATTCTTAAAAAAAATTTACATTGGATCATGAAACTAATAGCAAAATCTACATGCGAAATTCAACTTGAATACAAACTTTATCTAAATACCATTTACGATTTTGTTACCTCTCTTTGCCCCAGGTTTATGATAATTGTATCATTGTAAGGTAAGTAGTGGGAAAATGATAAGGTAAGGTAAGAGTTGGGTCAGTTTACCATGTTAGTGGTTAGTGTAACCTGGTAAGGTGAAGTTTGGGTCAGTTTTCCATGTTAGTGGTTAGTGTAACCTGGTAAGGTGAAGGGTGGGTCAGTTTACTATGTTAGTGGTTAGTGTAACCTGGTAAGGTGAAGTTTGGGTCAGTTTTCCATGTTAGTGGTTAGTGTAACCTGGTAAGGTGAAGGGTGGGTCAGTTTACCATGTTAGTGGTTAGTGTAACCTGGTAAGGTGAAGTTTGGGTCAGTTTTCCATGTTAGTGGTTAGTGTAACCTGGTAAGGTGAAGGGTGGGTCAGTTTACCATGTTAGTGGTTAGTGTAACCTGGTAAGGTGAAGGGTGGGTCAGTTTACTATGTTAGTGGTTAGTGTAACCTGGTAAGGTGAAGGGTGGGTCAGTTTTCCATGTTAGTGGTTAGTGTAACCTGGTAAGGTGAAGGGTGGGTCAGTTTACCATGTTAGTGGTTAGTGTAACCTGGTAAGGTGAAGTTTGGGCCAGTTTTCCATGTTAGTGGTTAGTGTAACCTGGTAAGGTGAAGGGTGGGTCAGTTTACCATGTTAGTGGTTAGTGTAACCTGGTAAGGTGAAGTTTGGGTCAGTTTTCCATGTTAGTGGTTAGTGTAACCTGGTAAGGTGAAGGGTGGGTCAGTTTACCATGTTAGTGGTTAGTGTAACCTGGTAAGGTGAAGAGTGGGTCAGTTTACCATGTAAGTGGTTAGTGTAACCTGGTAAGGTGAAGGGTGGGTCAGTTTACCATGTTAGTGGTTAGTGTAACCTGGTAAGGTGAAGTTTGGGTCAGTTTTCCATGTTAGTGGTTAGTGTAACCTGGTAAGGTGAAGTTTGGGTCAGTTTTCCATGTCAGTGGTTAGTGTAACCTGGTAAGGTGAAGGGTGGGTCAGTTTACCATGTTAGTGGTTAGTGTAACCTGGTAAGGTGAAGTTTGGGTCAGTTTTCCATGTTAGTGGTTAGTGTAACCTGGTAAGGTGAAGGGTGGGTCAGTTTACCATGTTAGTGGTTAGTGTAACCTGGTAAGGTGAAGTTTGGGTCAGTTTTCCATGGCTAGATGTATCAGTTAAACCTAGTAAGGTGAAGGGTCAGTGTATCCCGGCTAGGTGTGTCAGTGTAACCTAGTAAGGTGAAGGGTGGGTCAGTTTACCATGTTAGTGGTTAGTGTAACCTGGTAAGGTGAAGGGTGGGTCAGTTTACCATGTTAGTGGTTAGTGTAACCTGGTAAGGTGAAGGGTGGGTCAGTTTACCATGTTAGTGGTTAGTGTAACCTGGTAAGGTGAAGGGTGGGTCAGTTTACCATGTTAGTGGTTAGTGTAACCTGGTAAGGTGAAGGGTGGGTCAGTTTACCATGTTAGTGGTTAGTGTAACCTGGTAAGGTGAAGGGTGGGTCAGTTTACCATGGTAAGGTTAACGGTTAGTGTAACCTGGTAAGGTGAAGGGTGGGTCAGTTTACCATGTTAGTGGTTAGTGTAACCTGGTAAGGTGAAGGGTGGGTCAGTTTACCATGTTAGTGGTTAGTGTAACCTGGTAAGGTGAAGGGTGGGTCAGTTTACCATGTTAGGTGGTTAGTGTAACCTGGTAAGGTGAAGTTTGGGTCAGTTTTCCATGCTAGTGTGTTAGTGTAACCTGGTAAGGTGAAGGGTGGGTCAGTGTCAGGTACCATGTTGTGGTCAGTGTAACCATGGTGATGGGTTCAGTGTTTCCATGTTAGGGTTAGTGTAACCTGGTAAGGTGAAGGGTGGGTCAGTGTAGTGTAACCGTAAGGTGAAGGGTAGTAGGTGTGTAGTGTAACCTAGTAAGGTGAAGGGTCAGTATCCTGTTGGTGAGGGGTTCAGTATCCTGTGAGGGTCAGTGGTTATTCTGTGAGGGGTAACCTGGTAAGGCTAGGGTGGTCAGTGTAACCTAGTAAGGTGAAGGGTCAGTGTATCCCTTCAAGGTGTGTCAGTGTAACCTAGTAAGGTGAAGGGTCAGTGTATCCCGGCTAGGTGTGTCAGTGTAACCTAGTAAGGTGAAGGGTCAGTGTATCCCGGCTAGGTGTGTCAGTGTAACCTAGTAAGGTGAAGGGTCAGTGTATCCCGGCTAGGTGTGTCAGTGTAACCTAGTAAGGTGAAGGGTCTGTGTATCCCGGCTAGTTGTGTCAGTGTAACCTAGTAAGGTGAAGGGTCAGTGTATCCCGGCTAGGTGTGTCAGTGTAACCTACGGGTTCAGTATCCTGTAACGGGGTTAAGGGTGAGGGTTCAGTATCCTGTGAGGTGAGGGGTTCAGTATCCTGTGAGGGTGACGGGTGTATCCTGTGAGGGTGAGGGTTCAGTATCCTGTGAGGGTGAGGGTTCAGTATCCCGTGAGGGTGACGGGTTCAGTATCCCGTGAGGGTGACGGGTTCAGTATCCTGTGAGGGTGAGGGTTCAGTATCCTGTGAGGGTGACGGGTTCAGTATCCTGTGAGGGTGACGGGTTCAGTATCCTGTGAGGGTGACGGGTTCAGTATCCTGTGAGGGTGACGGGTTCAGTATCCTGTGAGGGTGAGGGTTCAGTATCCTGTGAGGGTGACGGGTTCAGTATCCTGTGAGGGTGACGGGTTCAGTATCCTGTGAGGGTGACGGGTTCAGTATCCTGTGATGGTGACGGGTTCAGTATCCTGTGAGGGTGAGGGTTCAGTATCCTGTGAGGGTGAGGGTTCAGTATCCTGTGAGGGTGATGGGTTCAGTATCCTGTGAGGGTGACGGGTTCAGTATCCTGTGAGGGTGAGGGTTCAGTATCCTGTGAGGGTGATGGGTTCAGTATCCTGTGAGGGTGAGGGTTCAGTATTCTGTGATGGTGAGGGGTTCAGTATCCTGTGAGGGTGACGGGTTCAGTATCCTGTGAGGGTGACGGGTTCAGTATCCTGTGAGGGTGACGGGTTCAGTATTCTGTGAGGGTGAGGGGTTCAGTATCCTGTGAGGGTGACGGGTTCAGTATCCTGTGAGGGTGACGGGTTCAGTATCCTGTGAGGGTGACGGGTTCAGTATCCTGTGATGGTGAGGGGTTCAGTATCCTGTGAGGGTGACGGGTTCAGTATCCTGTGAGGGTGACGGGTTCAGTATCCTGTGAGGGTGACGGGTTCAGTATCCTGTGATGGTGAGGGGTTCAGTATCCTGTGAGGGTGACGGGTTCAGTATTCTGTGAGGGGTTCAGTATCCTGTGATGGTGAGGGGTTCAGTATCCTGTGAGGGTGACGGGTTCAGTATCCTGTGAGGGTGATGGGTTCAGTATCCTGTGATGGTGAGGGGTTCAGTATCCTGTGATGGTGAGGGGTTCAGTATTCTGTGAGGGTGACGGGTTCAGTATCCTGTGAGGGTGACGGGTTCAGTATCCTGTGATGGTGACGGGTCAGTATCCGGGTTCAGTATCCTGTGAGGGTGACGGGTTCAGTATCCTGTGATGGTGACGGGTTCAGTATACGGGTTCAGTATCCTGTGAGGGTGACGGGTTCAGTATCCTGTGAGGGTGACGGGTTCAGTATCCTGTGAGGGTGAGGGGTTCAGTATCCTGTGAGGGTGAGGGGTTCAGTATCCTGTGAGGGTGATGGGTTCAGTATCCTGTGATGGTGAGGGTTCAGTATCCTAATATGTCTGAAGCTTTTAACTCTACGTGACAATTGATTGAAAGTGACGTCATGTAACCAAAATGTGTGTCTAAATCACTTAGTTATCAGTGTGTCACAGTGGGTATTTAGACGAATAAGATCATTTTAACAAAAAAGTGGTATGGGAAGAAAAAAGATAAAATGGATTTTTTATCTTATATATATATATTTATTCAAATTCGACATTACAGAAAATAATCCGTCATCTGTATATAGAAGGGATTGGTGTATATCAGACCGGGGATCAGAAAATCTCTGTAACATGTCATGCTGTCATGTGCACCCGGTGACATGTAGACGCGACCCCAAACCAACCAACTAGGAGACTCAACCGTACAGTCACAAAGGTATCATACTACATATATCTAATAGCTGAAATGTCCTGATCCACGAATCGTCATGTCAGCCAGAATACTGATTTTGATGACAAACTTTATGATAACTACCCCTTAATCTTTATCAATACAAGCAGACAGACGAGTTGAGACAGGCCCATGTAGGTTTACTTTCGGTTTGTATATGTCTACTACAGCATTTTTTATCAGCATTGAAATGCATATAAAACTATGAATCACACATAACACTGTTGATAATTAGTGTCAAAAACGGCCAACGAAAATAATTACACCACAGTTGTTTGTTTTACTCACTCGTGAAAGTCTAGTCAGCAAGGACAGCACAAAATCCTCCCCAACAATCCAGACATAACACACACTGAACGCCCATGTTGAAGACCTACAGCAAATGTGATATGCACTTGTGCACTAACACTCACGTAAGGCCTGTGGAGGTGAAACGTGTACGCCGCACCCATCCCCGGCCCGAAACCCGTACCAGGTTTATAAGAAATAACTTATATCTCGATAATAAAAATATATCTTCTACATAGAATTAGATTTTCTGATAAAACTTAATTCAATTTTCTTGAAATTTGAAACTTCGAATTAATGGATTTCGTTATCTCGATTTTTCTAAGTCGGTATTTTTTGTTTTTGTTTGTTTTTTTATGAGGAAAACTTGTACGCCGTACACCGCACTCAACCGTGCAATTTTCCGATTTTTTTCAATATTACAACTATTGTACAGTTTTATTTAATGGATTCTAAAAAAAGATTCAAAAAGCAATTATACCTATCTGACTGTTCTACAACCCGGGAAACAAGATAGACCATGGGACGTCGGTGAGCCTGAGTTGAAGAAGCGTTGATTTTTATCATTATATCCAGATATATATATTCAAATCGCGTGAAATCTCGGACTACGAGACTGGAATAGTCAACAAAGAAGAAATTACGAAGTCTGGCTCAGTAGGGAGCCTCGAAGACAATCGGACAGTCTGATTTGGTACCGTTCTATGACAGAATGTTATATATGTCTCTGTTTGGATGAACAAGTAACTTGACCTGTTGAACTTAGTGTCATCGGCGAAAGCGAGAATGCAAAAATGGTCATCTACAGGATACGACGTCAACTTTAGCAGCATTGAACACAAAAACAACAAAACAGAACACCACAACAACAATATTGAACACAACGACAACAGTATTGAACACAAGAATTACAGTATTGAACACAACGACAACAATATTGAACACAACGACAACAGTATTGAACACAAGAATTACAGTATTGAACACAACGACAACAATATTGAACACAACGACAACAGTATTGAACACAACGACAACAGTATTGAACACAAGAATAACAGTATTGAACACAACGATAACAATATTGAACACAACGACGACAATATTGAACACAACGACAACAGTATTGAACACAAGAATTACAGTATTGAACACAACGACAACAGTATTGAACACAACGATAACAGTATTGTACACACAACGATAACAGTATTGAACACAACGATAACAGTATTGAACACAACGATAACAGTATTGAACACAACGACAACAGTATTGAACACAACGACAACAGTATTGAACACAACGATAACAGTATTGAACACAACGACAACAGTATTGAACACAACGATAACAGTATTGAACACAACGATAACAGTATTGAACACACAACGATAACAGTATTGAACACAACGATAACAGTATTGAACACAACGATAACAGTATTGAACACAACGATAACAGTATTGAACACAACGACAACAGTATTGAACACAACGACAACAGTATTGAACACAACGACAACAGTATTGAACACAACGACAACAGTATTGAACACAACGACAACAGTATTGAACACAACGACAACAGTATTGAACACAACGATAACAGTATTGAACACAAGAATAACAGTATAGAACAAAAAAACAACAGTATTTAACACAACGATAACAGTATTGAACACACAACGACAACAGTATTGAACACAACGATAACAGTATTGAACACAACGAAAACAGTATTGAACACAACGACAACAATATTGAACACAACGACAACAGTATTGAACACAAGAATTACAGTATTGAACACAACGACAACAGTATTGAACACAACGACAACAGTATTGAACACAACGATAACAGTATTGAACACAACAGTATTGTACACACAACAACAGTATTGAACACAACGATAACAGTATTGAACACAAGAATTACAGTATTGAACACAACGACAACAGTATTGAACACAAGAATTACAGTATTGAACACAAGAATTACAGTATTGAACACAACGACAACAGTATTGAACACAACGATAACAGTATTGAACACAACAACAACAGTATTGAACACAACGACAACAGTATTGAACACAACGACAACAGTATTGAACACAACGACAACAGTATTGAACACAACGACAACAGTATTGTACACACAACGATAACAGTATTGAACACAACGACAACAGTATTGATCACAACGACAACAGTATTGTACACACAACGACAACAGTATTGAACACAACGACAACAGTATTGAACACAACGACAACAGTATTGAACACAACGACAACAGTATTGACAACAGTATTGAACACACAACAGTATTGAACACAAGTAACAGTATTGTATTGAACAACAACAGTATTGACAACAGTATTGAACACAACGATAACAGTATTGAACACAACGACAACAGTATTGAACACAACGACAACAGTATTCAACACAAGAATTACAATATTGAACACAACGACAACAGTATTGAACACAACGATAACAGTATTGAACACAACGACAACAGTATTGAACACAACGATAACAGTATTGAACACAACGACAACAGTATTGAACACAACGACAACAGTATTGAACACAACGACAACAGTATTGAACACAACGATAACAGTATTGAACACAAGAATTACAGTATTGAACACAACGACAACAGTATTGAACACAAGAATTACAGTATTGAACACAACGATAACAGTATTGAACACAAGAATTACAATATTGAACACAACGACAACAGTATTGAACACAACGATAACAGTATTGAACACAACGATAACAGTATTGAACACAACGACAACAGTATTGAACACAACGACAACAGTATTGAACACAACGACAACAGTATTGAACACAACGACAACAGTATTGAACACAACGATAACAGTATTGAACACAACGACAACAGTATTGAACACAACGACAACAGTATTGAACACAACGATAACAGTATTGAACACAAGAATTACAGTATTGAACACAACGATAACAGTATTGAACACAAGAATTACAGTATTGAACACAACGACAACAGTATTGAACACAACGATAACAGTATTGAACACAAGAATTACAGTATTGAACACAACAACAGTATTGAACACAACGATAACAGTATTGAACACAAGAATTACAGTATTGAACACAACGACAACAGTATTGAACACAACGACAACAGTATTGAACACAACGACAACAGTATTGAACACAACGACAACAGTATTGAACACAACGACAACAGTATTGAACACAACGACAACAGTATTGAACACAACGACAACAGTATTGAACACAACGACAACAGTATTGAACACAACGATAACAGTATTGAACACAAGAATTACAGTATTGAACACAACGACAACAGTATTGAACACAACGATAACAGTATTGAACACAAGAATTACAGTATTGAACACAACGACAACAGTATTGAACACAACGACAACAGTACTGAACACAAGAATTACAGTATTGAACACAACAACAGTATTGAACACAACGACAACAGTATTGAACACAAGAATTACAGTATTGAACACAACGACAACAGTATTGTACACACAACGACAACAGTATTGAACACAACGATAATATTACTGAAAACAACAATATTGAACACCTTAATAACAATATTGAACACATCAATAACAATATTGAACACATCAATAACAGTATTGAACACATCAATAACAGTGTGCCACAAAGCTGTATTCTTTGATCACTTGAGAGCGTCGTTATTTTCAGGTTTTAGTAGGGAGAGGCTACATGGTATAAAAGCTGTTATAGTTTGTATCAGAAAAGTCAGGATCATTTGTTTATGATAGCGTTGTTATTCACAAATTTTAGTAGGGAGAAGCTACATGGTATAAAAGCTGTTATAGTTTGTATCAGAAAAGTCAGGATCATTTGTTTATGATAGCGTCGTTATTCTCAAATTTTAGTAGGGAGAGGCTACATGGTATAAAAGCTGTCATAGTTTGTATCAGAAAAGTCAGGATCATTTGTTTATGATAGCGTCGTTATTCTCAAATTTTAGTAGGGAGAGGCTACATGGTATAAAAGCTGTTATAGTTTGTATCAGAAAAGTCAGGATCATTTGTTTATGATAGCGTCGTTATTTTCAGATTTTAGTAGGGAGGGGCTACATGGTATAAAAGCTGTTATAGTTTGTATAAAAAAGTCAGGATCCTTTGGTCATGTCAAATTGTATAGAAACTGTTTCAGTCTGTATCACAAAAGTTGGAATTCGCCGTTTCATAGGTCCTATATTAAGGCCGGTGTGTCAGTAGGAACTTTTTCTGCGCGGAGCAATTATTTTTGTGCCGGGTAAACAGAAATTGAACTACGAACAATTGGGAGTTTGACAGTCTGAATTCACAACCAATAATGCAGGATAAATATGATACATGGTCGGTGTCTTAAAGTATAAACTGAATTTTGTTTCGGGACAGAAAGTCTTCTATGATGGAGTAAGTTCCGTTATGGGAACAGACAAAACATGGAATTGCCTGTGAGAGCATTGTGACGTCACCAGTTGTATATATAGTCCCATATTTGAACCGGTCTCGCGGTAATGAGAACGAGATCGATACTTACATTGAATGTATGTCACAAAAATTAATTGTAGCAGTTTATACCCAAAGTACATTCTACTTTTTTCCCTTAAATCATTCGGGCTAATCCTTATGAATTAGTCTTTGATATTGACCAATCAAACACGACGTTATAAAATGACGCCGAATTTTTTATGTTATGAAAAAATCGGGACGCCTCTGCCGATTGCCATGCAGTCATCTTATATGGAAGGTATTGTATTTGAAACGAGGTGTTCCGGTTAGTTATGGGAAGACTAAATCTGGCCAATGAAAATGCTTGTTTCATACTTTCACAGGGATGGGTTATTGCTCAGACTGACGTATCCTTACTTGAATTAAATAGAATAACGTTCGTTACAATAGAAAACCCCGCTATCTTCATCAGTCTGATGGGTCTATTGCCGGCCCTTCCCTTTGTGGCACCATTTACAATCGAATCGATAAGTTTTTCGCCCAAGGCTTTTCGTTAATTCCGATTGCCTGATTGCTTGTAGCTATTCCTTGGTGTAACATCTATGTTACAATGTCAACAGCACATTCTCTCCTAGGGTGTTCATCAGAATGCTTATATACAAGTAAGTAAGTATATATATATATATATACATATATTTGTATATATATTGGTCACACCTAACAAATGGTGACTGTTTGACTAGTGCGCTGGCCGAGCCTCGAACTCACGATCTTAGGCACCAAATCGCCTATATACCGCTCGGCTAGAGAGAACTTCTCTTTACCTCGATAAGGTGAGCGTCAGACTAGTAAGCCAGAGGTTCTGGGTTAGAATCCGAGGAAGGCATTGAAATAAGTAATGACCTCCGTAAGTCTATTTATCATGATCTTTTACTGAAATACGCCAGGCTGAACCCGTGTGTGATAAAATCAGCAATTTTGTACTTTATCAACGAAATGATACATAAAGTCAAGAGGAGTCTCGAATATTCAGTCGGTTATAGCGTTGATCTACTGTAAATCACTTACATTTTGCGTGGTACAAAATGATGTCATTCAAATGTACAGTTACAGGTCAAATGTCGAGCACGCGTGACACAATAGATAAAATTGTAAAATCCCAGATGCTATTTTTGGGTTAGAAAAGTGCTAAAAATTGCAATAACATGCAAAATATGTGTTTTGTTAAATAACTTAAATAAACAGTAAGAAAACCATCAAAGACATCGCCGCTCGGATGACTACTATGTCATTGGCGTAATATTAAACATTGAACAATACGTTTGGCCTATTGATGTCCTGTGACCTTACCCAGAAAGCAAATCACTTCATCCTTCAAACAAAACCAAAACAAAAAACACACAAAAAAACAGAACAAAAAACAAATTGTAGTGTTCACGTGCATTTCCTTGACGTGCTAGCCTTCTCTCACTCCCTGTATCCCTTCTCTTTCTCTTCTTTCTCCCCTTCCCTGTTTTCCCCCTCCTCCCTACTTTCCTCCATTTTCTACTTTCAACTTGATACCAACCTATTTTCTCTCTCCCTTCTCTCCCCTATTCTCTCTCTCCCCTATTCTCTCTTTCCCTTCTCTCCCCTATTCTCTCTCTCTTCTCTCCCCTATTCCCTCTCTTCTCTTCTCAATTTCCCTCTCTTCTCTCTCCTATTTCCTTGTCTTTCTCTCCTTCCCTCTCCCCTATCCTCTCTCTCTCTCGCCCCTATTCTCTTTCTTCTCTCTCCAATTTCCTTGCCTTTCTCTCCTTCCCTCTCCCCTATTCCCTCACTTCTCTCTCCTTTTTCCTTGTCTTTCTCTCCTTCCCTCTCCCCTATTCTCTCTCTCTCGCCCCTATTCCCTCTCTTCTCTCCCCTATTCCCTCCCTTCTCTCTCCTATTTCCTTGTCTTTCTCTCCTTCCCTCTCCCTTATTCTATCTCTCTTTCGCCCCTTTTCCATTTCTTCTCTCAATTCGCTCCCCTATTCTCTTTTACAATTCGCTTTACCCATTCCCTCTCTTTCTTTCCTTCTCTTTCTCCCTAATCTCACCTATTCTCTCTATCTCCCCTTTCTCTCTTCCCTATTCCTTCTCTCTTTCCTCTTCTCTCTCTCCCCATGTACCTCTTTTCTCTTTCTCCCCCTCTTTCTCTTCCCTCCTTCTCTCTCTTTCTCCCCTTCTCTCTCCTATTCCCTCTCTTCTCTCCCTTCTATCTCCTATTTCCTTGTCTTTCTCTCCTTTCCTCTTCCCTATTCTCTCTCTCTCGCCCCTATTCCCTTTCTTCTCTCTCCTATTTCCTTGTCTTTCTCTCCTTCCCTCTCTCCTATTCTCTCTCTCTCGCCCCTATTCCCTCTCTTCTCTCCCCTATTCCCTCTCTTCTCCCTCCTATTTCCTTGTCTTTCTCTCCTTTCCTCTCTCTCTCCCCTATTCCCTCCCTTCTCTCTCTTATTTCCTTGTCTTTCTCTCCTTCCCTCTCCCCTATTCTCTCTCTCTTTCGCCCCTATTCCCTTTCTTCTCTCAATTCGCTCCCCTATTCTCTTTTCCAATTCGCTTCACCCATTCCCTCTCTCTTTCTTTCCTTCTATTTCTCTCTCTCCCTTATCTCCCCTTTCTCTCTTCACTATTCCTTCTCTCTTTTCTCTTCTCTCTCTCCCCATGCACCTCTTTACTCTTTCTCCCCCTCTTTCTCTTTTCTCCTCTCTCTTTCTCCCCCTTCTCCGCCCCATTTCTCCCTTCCTTCCTCCATTTTCTACTTGATACCAACTGTAACAATAAGCTGGGAATTATTAATGAAACTACAATTTGCCATCAATACATATTGATATTTTATCATGTTATTGTGAAAATGCTTTGAAAAAGATGGACACGTTTGGACCAATCCCTTAGGTTTACAACTAACACAGATGCAAATGGAAAGGTGTTTAAATTCAATCTATCTCCGAACTTAACCTTTAATAAGTGAGGAAAACGTTATTTTTAGACGGGACAATTTCTAACCTTTTCCAACCCGTATCCAAACGGAAATGACGTAACAGAGTCTATCCACGCCATACTTTATTACGTGACCAATGCTAGCAAAAACATTTAAGTATAGGAAGAGAGACAACTTCCCCGAGACTATCAACTAAAATTTCGTCAATCGAAATGTGTTCTTAACAACAAGTAAAAATTATATTATACCCGATCGAGTAATAAAAGCAAAGTTCTGTGAATACTAGTATATTGGAAAAAACTTTCTCTATCCCTCTCTCCACACACACCTACACACACCACTATACACACACATCTACACACACACACCTACACACACACATCTACAAACACCACTACACACACTTACACACAACCCTACACACACACATCTACACACACACCTACACACACCACTATACACACACATCTACACACACAACCCTACACACACACATCTACAAACACCACTACACACACACACACACCTAAATACACCCGCACACCTACACACACACAAACACCTATCCCACACACACACCTACACCCACCTCCACACAACACATACCTACCTACAGAAAAAACACAAATACCTACCTACAAACACACACACTCCTACACAAACACACCCCACACCCACACCAACATCCACCTACACACACACTTACACACACCCACATCCACACACACCTACACCAACGCACCTACACACACACCACACACACCTACACACACCTACACAAACACACACCTACACACACCTACACAAACACACACGCACGCACGCACACACACACACACACATTTTCCAGTGTTTGCTGTCTTTATTTTTGATGATTCGAGACAACTGGAAGCAGTATTCCATGGGGAAATAAAGTGGAGAAGTCGGTCGAAATACAGTTTACATATATCAAAGGGAAATGTCTGCAAGGTTCATCGATCTGTGAACAGCCATGGGTACTTTAACGATGCATCTTGGTTAAAAAAAAATAATAAAAAAAAAAACAAAAACAAAACAAAAAACAAACACCAAGTTTAATAACCATATTGACAAAATAAAACTTTGACTATTCAAAATTTAAAAAAAAAAAGGTTTCATGTGGCGAAGTGAAGTATTCAGTATACATATATACAAGGTGTATTTACATCAACTGACCTTCCTGATCAGCGTAATCAACCTGCCCGCTCTGTTGTAATTTCTGACGTAATTTCCTTGACAACGCCATCCCACCTATACACGTCATCAATAAGATGAGTGACTCTCCCATCAATAAATATGTGTACCACAGTGGACTGTACACATCCATTAATGTTCCGACTAAAATAGGATTTATTGTTCCGCCTAAAGCGGAAGTAATATTAAAGTAGGATGAAATTTTCCCCGACACCGGTAGAAAATCTTCCTCTGTCCAGGTAAATATTGTTGGGTATATGACAGCTATAAAAAGTCCCGTAAGAGCCGCCGTAAGCCACATACCAGCATTAAGGTAGTAAATAGCATATATTAATATACTAGCAAACATCAAGAACAACGCTATACAAAATACACTTAAAATCTTCTTCGGATTTAGATATTTAACCCAAAGTACTGCTATCAGACGACCAAATCCAAAACAGCCATAGAAAACTGATGTTACATAAGACCCGTCTACTGTCGACCAATCAAGGCGGTTGACACAAAATGCATTTAGGAATCCGGAAAACGATTCCTCAATAGCGACATATATCCCGGCCATTATCCCGAAGTTGATAAGGACGAGGATTGTATCGAGTCGTGAAAGATCAGGGGAAGCCTTTTCTTCCTTCAGGGTCCTTCCTGTTCTGATTTTTGAAAGGTCAAAGGTGAAGAACATAAACAAGTAAGGCAAACCGATCAGTAAACATAAGGAAGCCGAAATACTATAGGCTATGTAGATCCGCGATGTTTCATAAAACGAGTTTGAAACTACAGTGGAGTTCCGAATGGTATCTAAAGATGTTGATATTTCGGGAAAAGAACTACAATTAGAAAATGAATTTGACTGATTGTCATAGTGTGCTGATTGAGTGATGGTTAAATTGTTTGGGACGTAAATGTAAGACGCATTATTATTGGTTAATGAAATTATGACGTCAGAATGGTTCGACTTCGGCGCTAAAAATTGAGCTGTTATGATAGGGGAGATAATTCCACCCAGGGCGTAAGTGAAATGCATCGCCTGGACGTAGGAGCGTCCTTCCTCTCCCCAGATAGCCAGCATCTCGGCATTTACCACTGAAAAGAAAACGTAGATATTAGACTAAATTGGAACTAGAATTTGAAAATAAAGAAAATAAAACAGAAAAAAGGCGTGACATCAAATGAGATTAGACTGGGTCAGTCAGTTTTGGAATATCTTATGAGATAAGACTGGGTCAGTCAGTTTTGGAATATCTTATGAGATAAGACTGGGTCAGTCAGTTTTGGAATATCTTATGAGATAAGACTGGGTCAGTAAGTTTTGGAATATTAAATGAGATTATACCCGGGTTAGTAATATTACAAATGTCGTCCAAAACTTCGTGAGCTAATGAACTCGTAACTTGGGTTTTAGGAGATGCAAGTTGATAAAGTTGAGAGGGACGTTTTACGTGACACAACTTACTTGGATTGACAGGGCGGATGTCGTCGATGAAGCAGAGGACGCTTACTCTTGCGGAACACATGGACTTATTCTCCTTGTAATTTTATGATTTTCAGTTGATATTTTTCTTTTGTTCGTGTTTGGCCCTAGTTTTACTGAATTTGAGTATATTGTAATCATGGTCCTATGATTTTGTATACACAGATCACATACAATCATCTTCACTGTCGATTCTCATTGTACCGCTTCCCTCTATACTATAATTCATGTTCATGTTACAGGGATGCAGAATTCGA